TAGTAAAAACTCATTATGAAGTACATTGGCATCCCAGCAATACTTCTTCAGTTTAAATCATGGGCCATGAACACATAGCAGTGACAGTCAGATTTTTGGAAACTTTGGGCAACATGGCAGGCCAGCCTCATGTAGCTGCTGTCACACACTCATAGAGGTGCTGGAGAGAAGATAACAAAATGTATCATTTAGAGACATAGGCTGGCTTGAAAGAAAAAGAAAAAGATGTCCCATTATACACCTTTTTAAAAATAAATAAATCTAGGGAGGGCTTAGAAGGGGTTAAACACCCATTTTGGTTGCCTTTCATGGGAAAAAAACAAAGGTAGCTCACAACAGGAATGGTAAGTAGAAGCTGCTGGTGGATTTCACTCTGAAAGGGAGAAGAGGCTGGTGTCTTAATGTGCCCTTGGTGCAGGAAGTATGGCCTTCAGCCTCAACAAAGTCAGGTTTGTTTTTGTGGGGAAAAAAAAAATCCCTAGGACTTAAAGTGTCCAGCTGCTGGGGGGGAGGGTCTGGGATAGCAGGGGCATGATGAGCGGGGCGAATGCTGGGCAGTGGCACAGGACCCCCAGGCTGGGTCTCTGCCAATGATGACACGCTGTCCTGCTAAGCAAACTAGTGACCCCATTGGAACTGCTCTCGACCCTGAAATAATCTGGCAGAGAAGGGCCACATTACTGTGAGAGCCTTAAAAGCCTTCAGGCAGAGGGACAGGGCAAGGGTGATAATTAGCGGAAACATACAGTCCGAGGATGTTGGCAAACAGAGCAGACAGTGGGCTTGTGTGCAGTACAAGGAGCTGTGCAGTCAGGAACAGCATAAAGAAAACATTCAAACAAACCAGCATCTCCCATATCTCAGAGGCCCATATGGCCAGGCTGGTGGTACTTACACGGTCTCACTTTCAGAACCCACAAACTCTATTTTTTCTGAGCCTGCTGGAAGAGGCAGGAAAGTTTTCCCCTTCACTTGCTCAAGGATGACCAGGAGGTCACACTGGAGGCTGTGGGCATGCCGCCGGACATCTTGACGTACCACGTGGGGCCAGTCTAGGTGATTCTGTTCATTGGCCAAGACAGGGATAACAACCTGCAACAAACAAGCATGGAAAAGGCATGCGTTCTACTTCTGAGACCTTAAAGAAAAGCTATTCAGAGAAACACCCAGAAAGCCGTACACCGCCTTCTCGGGTGCTGGTGCTGTGGGGCTTGACACTGGAACCAGCATTATGACACCTGGTAAAATCAGGAGGGCCTCGACTCTATCCTGCAGATAAGGTCCCCTAGCCAAACAGCCCTTCTTATCAAAAGCACTAGGCCCAGCTGCTGCTTAACCCTGAGAAGCGGGCTTCAGGTCCATGCCAGCCAGATGAATTATTCAAACAAGCCAATCCCATCTTTCCACAGGACATGCCACCCCCTCTTGATACTACAAAGAGGGCTTCGCACAACCCTGGTTGTTCACTCTGTTCCCGAATTCAGCCCCCATGTGGCCCTGCACGGCACTGTGTCCGGCTCCTCTGGGCTGTGAGTACATGTGATGAATAAACTGCTGTTGGTCCCATCTGTCCAATGTTGTGTGCTCAGCCATCCCCATAACCCTGGGGCAGGAATCCCTCCTTCATCAGCAGGGTGAGTGGGAGGGGACTGAAACTGTCCCAAAGGCCAGAGGCAAAACACAGGACAGATGCTAGTAAGGATGACTCTGTTCACAGGTGGCCTGAGGGGGCATCTTAAAAAAGTAAGCCAGCTTGAGGACCTTGAATCTATCTGGAGGGTGAACACTAGTTGGTTTTGGCCACCCAACATAGTTCCTCTTCCTTGACACTCATCTCCAGATCCAGGGGAGGACCTGTGGCCAAATCGGAGCCGATGAGAATCAGCGTCTCCTCTGAATTTTTTGAGGAAGAGAAGCTTTCTCTTTTCTGTGAGCCTGGAATAATTGGTGGCAATCTTGCTACCACGTGGACCCTTAGGGGGATTTTATAGATGGAGAGAGACCAAGTCCTGTGACATCACTGGAGCCCCTGTATCATGATGCTCTTGAACTTTCTGAGCTAATTTAAATTGAGGTTCCTGCCACTCCCAACTTAAGAAATTGTAATTAACATACCTCACTAGGAACATATGCCTGTCAAAAGCTCACAGCTGATGGGAAGGGAGTATGAGAAAGAAAAACAGAGGATCAGGTAATGGTTAAAAGAACTACATTGAGAAGAAAATATGGACTCATGTGGTTGGGTGGGTTCTATACATGACCAATGAGTCTGTGTGGCTGTGACACAGAATACTTGGACCCAGCATGTGAATCGAGGAGGGTGATCCTTGCCTGCCCTGTCTGGAAAGAGTGAACTGAGAACTTACAACAAGGTGAACAGAGACAGAATGTCACAAACTGAGCTTTATTCATATTTATGTTAAGAAAGGACTCTTTGGGCCCAGGGCAAAGGCCTACCAGGGGAGAGAGTATGAACAGGAATTCTCCTAGGATCTCAAAGCAGGGACTATATCTCATTTGGTCTTTATTTACCCACCATCCTCCCTAAGGTCTGGCATGCAGGAAGCTCTCAGCAGAGATTCATAGGATAACATAATACTTGCTGTCTGAAGAAAAAGTGGTGGATGGGGTTGGGTTGGACTTTGGAGGGCTCTGAGTAATAGAAAAATAATAAATATGGACTTTTGATGAAATGAAAAACTATGCATTCAATAATTTAATGAATATTTATTGAGCATCTACTATGATCTAGTACTGTTCTGGGTGCTGGGAAGGTGTGTCACTGAGCAAAACAAAGATTCCTGACCTCATGAAGTTCATATTCTAGGGGAGAGACAGTCAACAACCAAGTTCTGTGAAAGGAAGTCTAAACAAAGCAGGTGAGGAGGATCAGGAATGTGGGCTGGAGGGGTTGTGATCGTTCAGTGGAGTGATGGGAGGCAGACCTCACTGAGAAGGTAACATTTGAACAAAGTCTAGGGAGGGTAGTGAGGGTGAGGTGCAGACCCTTAAGGGGAACATACTGCAGGTAGAAGGAATAGCCAGCGCAAAGGCCCTGAGGTGGGAGCATGCCTAGGGTGGCCCAGGAGCAGTGTGGAGGTCAGTGAAACGGGAACAGGGTGAGGGAGAAGAGCAGGGCTGAGTCAAACAGGTCAGAGCACAGGCGGCCCTACCTGTGGGATTTTGATTTTCCCCCTCAGAGGAGCGGCAATCACTGGAGGGTTTTGAGAAAAGGGTTGACATGGTCTGACACCTTTTTTAGAAGGGTCACTTCAGCTGCAGTGTTGAGAATAGACTGTAGGAGCCTAAGCAAGAGAAAGGGATGGGTCAGCAAGCTGTGCTATGACACAAAAGACAGTGGCTTGGCACGGGAGTAGTGGAGGAGATAAAAGAAATGGTGTGATCCTATACACATTTTGAAGATTTGGCCATGATTTCTTGATGGATTAGTTACAGGGCTGTGAGAAAATAAAAGGAGTCAGGATGACTCCAAGCTTTGGGATTTGAGTAACGGGAGGAATGGCACTGCCAGTAACTGGTGTGGGGAAGAGAAAGGGTGGAGTATGTTCTCGACAGAAGACTGGGGATGCGTTTTTGGACACATTAGCATTTGATACATCTGTTGGACTTCTGACTGGGGACATTGCGTAAGCAATTGGATATGGTGGCTGGGAGTTCAGAGAAGACTAAAGGTAACAAATTGGGTAGATATCAGGTACAGATCGTTTGTGAAGCTCTGAAGGCAAGTGAGTGCCCACAAGGAATTGAGTATATGTAGAGAAAAGATGTCCCAGGAATAAGCCCTAGGGTTCCCATGTTAGGAAGTTGGGAAGGAGTCGGGGTGCCATCAGTGGAGACTGAGAGGGAGTGGCGATGTGACAGAAGGACACTGGAAGGCTGTCTCCTAAAAGCCAAGGGAAGAAAGGAAAGGGTCATCAGAAGCTATGTCAAGCGCTTCTTGCAGGTCAAGCAGAAAGAGTACTGATAATGAGCCTCCAATTAATGGAGGTCACTGGCGATACTGGCAAATTCTCTAATTTCTCTTCCATGCAATGCAGGGGTAAGGACCCTGTGAGTGTGTATAAGATAAAGCAAGAAAAGAAGGGGACACAGCCAGAACAGACATGGATTCTAGACATGTTGCTAGAAAGGGGACCATAGAAATAGGATGGTAGTTGGCAGAAGGAATGAGGATTTTGTTTGATGGGAATTATCTAGGGCAGAGGGGAAAAATAGGAATGTAGGAGAGGGGGGGGGATTGCTGGAGTGACCACCTCAAGGAGGTGAGAATGGGCAGAATTAGTCCAAAAGCGGCAGTTTTAGTCCTTGGGTGGGCATCAGGTGACAGCAGTCTGCAGCCATGGGGGGGATGGCAATGCACTGAGTACAGCTATTGGCAGATGGGCTAGATAAAAGCAGCTGCGGAAATTTTATTCTATTATTTCTGTTTTTTTAAACCAAGCAAGCATCACAGAGTGAGGTTGATAGAGGAGATTTTGAATATTCGAGGGAAAGAAAGTGTGCAAGAGTGTGAAGAACAAGAAAACAATTGGCACTGGAGGTATGGGATGTAAGTCAGAAAGCATAAACCTGTTGGAGGTTTGGGGCCATGAATTTAAAGTGGAGCCAGTTGTTCTCTTCTCTGGCCTCACTCAGCTTCATAGCTGCAGGTATGGAGTAGGCAGAGGCTGGATTTCACCAGGATTATGATTCTGCCAAGCAGGTACAACAAAGCAGGGCAGAGGCCAGTCAGTCAGGAGCAAGGGAATGAGGAGAATGATGGTGTACTCCAGCTGGCTAATGGGGAGAGAGGGACAGTGGGAAGGTGGTGGGAGCCACAGAATGGAAATTCTAGCAGAGTCACGAGCTTGTTGTGGTGACATGGGACAGAGTGAGCTGGAAAACAGGAGCAGTGGCCAGAGAAAGAGGTGCATGAAATTGGATCATGAAGGGATGGTTTGGTAATTCAAGGTCTGGGAATGGGTGGGAAAGGGTGGTTAAGATAGGGAGGAGTAAGGTTCAAGGAGCCCAGTGGCCGGCTGTTTGGAAGGATCATTTGTGTGTCTACTGAAATGGTCACCTGTTAAGACAGGAGTAATGCTGTGGAGGGTCAGAGTGGAGTGGGAGCCCAATCACGGAGGAAGGAAGGCAGTGTCATCAGGACCTGGTGCAGCCATGAGGAGAGAGGGTGGCTTTGTCTGATGGCATGAGATTCAAACTGGAGGCTTTCCAACATGAATCAAGAAGCAGCCTAGAGGAGCAAGGACACCTGTCTCACCTCCAGGCTCAGAGGTAGAAGGGCAGTGGGGGAAATAAGGCTGCGCCTCCAAGGAGAGTCAGGTTTGGGTTAGAGAAAGGTGACAGGATGGTCACAGAAGTGAGGGCACTTTTAAATGGGATGCAGACCAGCAATAATTCTTACCCTTTAGGGAATATCTACAACGTCACACACTCTGTTCCAGGTGCCCTAATACATTAGTTCTACATTTCATGACACCCTGCAAGGTAGTTTGACACTGAAGAGGTGAGCTGACCTGCTCACATTACACTGATGAAAGTGACAGAATCAGGATTTGAGCCCAGGTCCATGCAACTCCAAATCCCATGCTCTCTCTCCAAAACACAAAACTTTACAACAGCATCTATGTTTCAGAGCTGTAGGAAAAGTAACCAGGCAGCAGTGCAGAAAGTGATTGGGAGGAGGAAGAAAGGGAGCAGGAGAACTAGATACTAAATTGTCTGTTCTTCCTCGGAAACATTTTAACTTTCTACTAGTGTAATGGGACAATATTGGTTAACACCTCCCCTCCCAACATCCCCCCCCCGACACACACACAAACACACACACACACACACTTAAAAGGTATAGCTTCCTCCCCTGGCTAACACTTCCCCTCCCAACATACCCCCTGACACACACACACACACACACACACACACACACACACACTTAAAAGGTATAGCTTCCTCCTCTGGTTAACACCTCCCCTCCCAACATCCCCCCCAACACACACACACACACACACACACACACAAAACCCAGGAAGCCTTGTCTTAGGCAGGTGGGGACTTTGCTTTAGTGCTGCTGAAGGGGAGCATGCAGCCTGGTTCAGCCAACGCACAGGAGCAGGGAGGGTCGGCAGCAGAGCTGGGAGGGGCAGGGGGGCTTAGGGCACCAGGGGTAGGCAGGGTTCTGAAGTGACTCTGGAGTACCTTCAGGGCACATACAAAAAGAAGGTGGCAGAGGAGTGGGTGAATGGCCTAAAGACTGTTGTTAGAGGTTTCAGAAATACAATTATTTCATTTAGAGTTTTAAAAGAGGTACCATACAAACTACAAAAGCTTTGCAGTGGAAAGTGAGTCTTCCACCTAGAAACGGTAGCATACTATACATACAATTCTGCACCTCTTAGAAAATTATTTAAATTGCAGCAAAATAAAAAAAAATTATTTAAATTGCAGCATTGTTCAGAATAGCCAAGAGCTGAAAGCAACATAAATGTCCATCCAGGGAGAAATGGATAAAGAAAATGTATACATATAATACAACATGGAATTTTATGGAGCCTTCAAAAGGAAGGGAATTCTGTCACATGGATGAATCTTGAGGACATCATGCTGAGTGAAATAAGCCAGTTACAAAAAGTTACAAATACTGCATGATTCCACTTACATGAGGTACCTAGAATGGTCAAATTCAGAGGTACAAAAAGTAGAGTGGTGGTTGCCAAAGGCTGGGGAGGTGGAAGGAGTGGTTTAGTGGGTATAGAGTTCATTCATGTGGGAGGGGGAGTTCTGGGATCTGTGGCACAGTGTATGTACATGTGGCTGATAATATTGTACCTTACACTTGGAAATTAATGGGAGAGTGAATTTTATTTTATGTGTATTTTTGTTACACACAAATTATCTTAAGGATTATTGCATATCAGTCATTTCTTTTAATTATAGATAGACCTTCATTCATTCACCCAGTACCCTGCTGATGAATGTTCAGTTTGTTTTCCAATCTCTTTCAATGCACCAATGAAAATTCTGGAACATTTGAGGGCTTGAATTGTTTTAAAATCACTTTTGAATTGCCTTTGTTGCTGGATACATTTCCTTTTGAAACCCTGGGATGGACCCAATGTCTGCCACATACATGTGTAGTTCCATCTCTGAACCTTTGTCCAGTTTGCTCCTAATCCCTCAAAAGTTACTTTGTTCTCAATTTATCCTTACCCTTCTTATTCAGAAGCCAGTGCAACACTTGAGGCTAGTTCAGGCTCTCAGACCACCCATACAGCTCTCACCTCTGAGCCCAACGGCACTTTCCATCATCACCATACATTAGGGGATTTTACCCAAGCTTGGATTTCTGCAGGGATTGTGTTCAGACGATGCCCAGCAGTCAAGCCATTTGAGCTGTTAAACACTTCCCCATCTACTGAGAAACCTAGCTTCTAGCTTCTCTGGGCCCTTCAGAGCAACTCTAGCCCCTTCTGGAATTCCCCCTTCAGTAGCTTCCTGATAAAGCAGCTAAAGGGCTTACACTTGACATGGCAGGGAGCCTCCAGGAGCTGGCTCCGACACTAGGGCCAAGCCGTAGAACTACCTCCACCCCAGTCATATTGGCTTTAAATATTTTAAGAGAACTACCTCCACCCCAGTCATACAAGCTTTAAATATTTTAAATATATGAGTAATTTCATGGGTGCGACCTTGTCTTCTATTTCTTTGGTATTCCCCATAGCACCTATCACATGAAACACCACATAACCAGTACTCTGAAAACACTTTTTTCACAACTTGCAGGATCCAGGGCATTGGGCCTCCAGAAGCATGCACACTCAACTTACAGGGACGCTTACTCCCATTCCAGAAAGGTCTAAATGTCCCAAGAATCTCTCCTAAGCACCTTGCCTGAAAGTTCTCACACTCTCCAGGCTTCTGTTATGGGCTCATGGTAGCACTCCATAACCCATATCTCTGGAGAACTTCTCCCCCAGCTCCAGGCAGACCCCTCCAAACACCTGTTGGACATTTCCAACTGGACGCCCCAACTTCTTATCTTGGCGCAGGGCTGACATTTGGCACACGGTTGTGTGATGAATGAATAAGATGAAGTCAAAGCCAGCCTACCTCCCCTTCTAACTCTTCTCCAGAAGTAAACACTATAGATAGCATTTCACCTCCCTCGCCTCACTGACCTAAGAGAAATTTCCCTTTGTTAACCATTTCCTGTCTTCCCAGTACCAGTGTCCAGGAGGGATGAAGAGACACAGCCTTAAAAAGCAAGCGGTCAGGACCCACCAGGCACTCTTGGGATTTTAGCGTCCCCTCATTTCAGCTTGAACGCAGGCCAGGCCTGAAGCAAGCTTAGCCCCTAGACTTTCTCACCCTGACCTGGCTCCTACTCAAATTTCCCCCGCTCCCATTTACAGCTGCCTCACGTCTCAGGGGTCAGCTCCGTCCGGTTCCCATTCAGCCCCACCCCTCCACTCCAACTGGGACCCATCCCAACCATTCTGCTCTCCTCGGACACCCCAAACTCGGCTCCTGGCCTCACTCCGCTGGCTCCTCCCCTCCGCCCCGTCTCCTCCTCCCCGCCCCGTCTCCTCCTGCCCTCCTCCTCCCCAGTTGCTGCAGCGCGGGGCCAACACACCCTCACCTCGGAGAAGAGCGCGGACAGGTGCTCCAGAGGGGCTGCGGGCACGTCCCCGCAGAGCACCGAGCCGCGAAGGCTGTGGGGCCCGGGCGGCTCGGGCCTGGTGCGCAGGAAAAAAAGCCCCTTAGCTCGAGGAGTGCCAGAGTCCGGTCCCGCGTCCAGCCCGGGTTGCAGCGCCAGGCCCCCGGGCCCGGGCCGCACCACCAGTAGCGGCTGCGGACCCTCCGCAGCATCGCGGCCCAGGAAGGCGTGCAGCAGCCGCTCCGCCTCGGCGGTGCCCGCGCAGCGCTCCCAGGCGCCCGCAGCCGGCCGCAGGCTCTGGACCACGTAGGTCCCCAGAAGTCGCAGTCGCGGGTCGGCGCCAGCTTCGTCTTCTGCGTTCTCCTCAGCTAGCGCGGCCCGCTCCTCCGCGCTCGGCATCGCGCGGCCTCTGGCTGCCTCGGGCAGCAGCGGTTTCCCTAGCGACGGGGACGCAGCCGGGGCTCCCTCCTCCGCTCCCCTCCTATTGGGCACAGGACTCCTCGCCCCGCCCCTTCCTGTCTAATAAGGTAGGAGAGGGAAGGCTGGGGAAGGGGCGGGATCGCGTCGTTGTTGCTAGGAGACCTGCGGCTGCTCACGTTTAGCGTGTTGCCTCTCCTATTGCAAGTGCTGGAGAGTGATGGTCCTAGGGCACTGGTTTGTAGGATGTAAGTGCTGTTAAGGGTCCTGCTAGTTAAGGTCAGATGACATTCCTTAGAGGTATCCAGACACTGAAAACATTCTGGATGTCCCACCTAGTCCCCAAATGCGTACTTCAAACTTGAGAATAATGTCAAATCATAAAATAGATGTAAAGGAATTCAGTGACGTTTTTAGCTTATTTGCCACGAAAACTGAAATACTTTAGAGCAATGCTTATGTGGACACTAAGCATTGGAAGTGTGCTGGTGCGGCTGAGGAACTGAATTTTTAAATTTTAATTTTAAGTAATTTAAAATTAAATAGTCAACATGTGGTTCACAGCTCAGCCTCAGAATTTATATTACCAATTATATTTTTAAAAGGTTTTTTAGTGTCCTGCTGTGTCCGTGCCTTAAGTGTGTGCTTCATCTGACAAATGGGGACTCAGACTCTGAGATCACTTTGATTTCTGTATGCCCCCAATCAGTTCTTCTCAAATGCAGCAAAGCAGTTTTAAATGTGCAGGGTGCTCAGACCCTCCTATTCCTGCTGTATATCTGGACCTTGTCTTCAAAAAGGAATAATGTGAAACACCTTTCAAAAATTAGCATTTGCCACCTGCTGAATCCTTCTCCATGATCAGGATATAAATAACCTGGTCCTCTGCATGTAGTAAGGTGAGATGGGACAAGGAAAGATACAGCCTCGGTAGCATGAGAACTGCAGGTCTGAAAGAGCTCCCTTCTGTCCTGTCCCCTAATTATAGGCACCAACCAGAGACAGCAGCATTTCTGGGTAAAAAGAACACTTGCAATGGGCTTCAAAGGCATATTAACAGAATAAGCACTTATCAAAGGCAGCGAAGCTAACAAGAGGCCCTCAGGATATGCTATAGCTGGAAGGTAAAATGATTGATTTCATAATAACTGGGGCACAGGAAGTGCTATGATGAACAATGTTCCCATAGAAAATGAATCTGTATGTTTGTAAGAGCATTTTATCATTGCTGGATCAACAGTAGACAACCAGGAGTAAAGGAACAAAAACAAACACACTCACATGATTTTTAAGATGAATTTGATAATTGGCATTTCAAAAAAAGCATCAGGGAAAAGAAGTGTTGAGGCCTTCCTACACATACCGTAGTTGGTAGAGTTTGTATTTTGCACATAGGAAGGCATCATTTTTTTAATGCTTAGGACCTCCAAAAGTGTCAATCCTAATCATGTTTTACATAGAGAATAAAGTCAGGACCATTAACTTCCTGTAAGTCTTCCAATAAAGTTGCTATCACCCCACCATGGCCTATTTGCCCCTCATCCTCTTTGTCCCTTTGTCCCAATATACATAAAAATATAAACATGGGAACCTGTGAAGATGCCTTGAAGAGGTCTAAGAGTGAAGCCTCCTGAACACTGACAGTGCCAGCTTTTACCTTTTCCCCCCAACTATACACCTTAATCTCCATTTTAGAAAGAGATTTGGCAGCAGGGGTGTCTGTATGGGATTTACTGAAAACCCTTAATACCATCTTTATTTTGTATAATTATGATAAGGAAACAAAAAAACAAGTATATTTGCTCTTACTGTGTAACAAATCACTCCAAATAATATCTATTTAAAATAGCAGTAGACATTTATTATCTCACATAGTTTGTGATGGGTCCGAAATTTTGGAGCAGCTTATCTGGGTGGTTCTATCTCAGGACCTCTCATAATATGGCAGACACGATGTCATCAGGGGCTGCATCATCTGAAGGTTCTGACTGGGTGTGGAGTCATTGCTGGCTGTTGCCAGGAGGTTTCAGTTTCTGAACACCTGGACCTCTCCATTGAGTGCTTGAGTGTCCTTACAACATTATGTCCAGCTTTCCTGAACCAAGTGATCTAAGAGAGAATAGGACAGAAGCCATCGTACCTCTTATGATACATTGTCATTTCTGGTGTAATCCTACTCATTATAGAGGTCCACCCCATTCACTCTAAAAGGGAACTACACTAGCACATGAATATCTGAAGACAGGAATCATTGGGGCACATCTTAGAGGCCGGCAACTACAAATGGTGTTAAGAAAGATGTTGAATTTGTGTGATTGTTCAGATGGAATTATTTCCTTTTCATAAACTAGAAATTTGGACATGCTTCCATGAGCATAACATTTTTATGTCAGATTTTTTGCTTGCAATGACCATGCACAATTCCTATTCAACACTTTTTAGTAATGATCCCTTTAAATTCTGGATAGTCATCATTGATGGGAAATTTGTTCACACAAGCCAGTAATGCAAAATGTAAAGCCTTTCACAATCATTCAAAAATTAACAGTTGGCATTATATGTACAGAACTGAGCAGCTTTCTTCCTTGACAAATGGTATGTTGAAATTTCTTGTGATGCTGTGGATATTGAATCTACATCAATGTTTCTATATCAAATATTCAAAATAGTGATAAAGGTTTAATTCAAAGAATATGCATGCATTGTTAGTCTCCTTGCTGCCATCTTGGATACCACTAAATGAAGACAGTCAGATACAAATGTGCAGACATGTTGGGTACATGTGTAGAAGGAGAGGCCAGGCTACCTGGAGCTCCAACCAGGACACATGTATACGAATATTAATTGTTCCATATTCCTGAGAGCAAATTCATGGGAAACAAACCAGTTGTTCATCAATGATAGGATGGAAAAATAATTGTGTTGTATACTACTCATAGAATAAAATACTACACAGCAGTGAAAAGGAGCAGACTGCAGCTCCACGCATCAACATGGGAGAATCTAAAAGGAATAATGCTCAACAAAAAAAGACAAGTTGCAGAGGAGTCCTTTCAGTATCTATTAGTTTTAAATTAAATGATGATATTTTGTTAGACATACATAATCTAGAGAAAACTAAGGGAATGATTATCCTAAAATTCAGATTTTGATCATTTTTCAGGTGCAGAGGGGGAAAAGAGTCATGGGATGGTGAGGGACCCACAGGGGCCCCCTTAGGTTCCTGGTGATGTTTTATTTAACCTGGCTTATGGGTTTTCATTTTATCATTCCTTTTAAACTGTGCATATATGTTATGTGCTTCTTTGCATATGTATGATATACTTCACAATTAAGAAAAGGTATGTGCCATTTCTTGTACTCTGAATGTTGTGGGACTACTCATTTCCATTACTGGGAATAAGTTAAATTATTTTTCATAGAAATGCTAACATTTTATTAGATTTATAAGAGTATACATCAAATATCTTTACATTTTTAATTGATTAAATTTCACAACTTTTATAATTCAGTCTTTTGCTAGTGGCTTGTCATTGGGTTCAGTAGACACTGTTCAACCCTTCTCTTCTTGGTTCTCTTCAACACAGATTCCTGCTTCACTGTGAAACATTCTAGACTGCTGATTTCCATGGCAATCACCCTCCTTTTGGCTTCTTCCCCTCAGTCTCTTTGACTACTCTGGTTTTACCTATCCCTTCACTATTGATGTTGCTTAAGCATCTGTCTCAGACCTGCTGGCCTTCTCGTGTTAAAATCTCTCCTTGTATGAATTTACTCATCCAAGGTAAAAATTCTTCGTTTTATGCTGGTAGCTCCCAAGTCCATATCTCCAGCCCAAAACTACATAGGTGTAACATTGTAGGGTGATATCTGTTTTCCCTTCAAGTCTCTATAGAAATTGTTCCATTGCTTTTTTGAAACTTAGTGAAGAGAAGTCTGAAGTCAGCTTGATTTTGTTCTTTGTAGGTGTCATTTGAAACTACCTGTTTGTTTGAGGCATTTGTCCCCCTCCCTTTTTGTCTCTGTGATTCTTAAAAATGTTTTAGGTTATAGCTGAACTCCCACTGAATTGATTTTTGCCTGAATTATGAGAGCCCATTCAGTTCTTGTGATGTGTTCCTTTACAGTAGGAAAGACTGATCTATAGAATCTTTGATTATTACTTATTTTCCATTTGTACTTTCTGGTCTGGTTTTCTGGTAGTGTAGATTGAGAGAATGTGCTAAAAATTATAAGTAAGGGATACATTTTGAAATACTAAGTGAGGTTTTTTATTCCTATATGTTTTGATGTTGTCCTGTGACTCTCTACTCAGTGAGGTAGTGACATTTAATGCCCTAGGGGAGTGTGGATACAGCCTAAAACAGTCCAATGAATTCCTGAACAGTTTTTAAACACATAGTAGAGACAATAAAGTGAAAGCCATGCTATTTCTGTTCTTTCATGGTAAGAACCAAGCACTTAAAAGGGAGAAAAGCATTTCTTGTACAGCTTGTCTGTTTTAATCCCAAGAGCTTGGCTTTGAATATACAGAGCATGGTCTGGAAGACTGAGAGGCTAGAATGTATATCCTAAAAGGTAGTGGGCTAGACGTGCCTAGTGACGTGATGAGCAGATTTCCCTAAGAGGAGCTAAGAACTCTTTCTAGGATGGGGAGGGGTGGGCATGCACAGTAGAGGGCAACGTGGTTAGAGCTGTAGAATTCTTGATCCTTTCTGGAGAGTCTGGGGAAGGGGGAAGACACGAAAGCTACTGGGAGAGCTTGGGTGTCCAGGAGAAGGGGACACCCGAGCCTGGCTTGCCAGGGAAGACACGGGCAACTTGAGAATGTGAAGTCCTTTTATGCAGCCTGGCCCCTGTGCTAGAGCAGCAGTGGGGGAGGGTCGGGTTTGAGGAGAGTAACCAGAAGGTGGCTTTTCAATGCTGCCTTGCCTTCACAGGCTGCAGGGACAAGGGACCTTTTTCATGGTTAGGAGGAGAACAGAAATGCTTAGAGGGCCAGCATAGGGTCAGGCTGACAAGGACACAGCAGGAC